ATGTGATTTATGAATATATTCTCCTATACTGTAGGATGCCTTTTTGTTCTACTGATAGTGTCTTAAATAAAAGAGGGGAGAGTGGGCATCCCTGTCTTGTACCTGATCTTAGAGGAAAAGCTTTTATCTTTTCACTGTTAAGTATGATGTTGGCTGTGGGTTTGTCATATATGGCCTTTATTATGTTGAGGTACTTGCTCTCTATACCCATTTTGTTGAGAGTTTTTATCATGAATGGATGTTGAATTTTGTCAAATGCTTTTTTTAGCATTATGGTGATGTGCATGTAGTTTTGTCCTTCTTTTTGTTGATGTGATGGATAATGTTGATGGATTTTTAATACTGTACCATCCTTGCATCCCTGGGATGAATCCTTCTTGATCATTAGTGATGATCTTTTTGATGTATATTTTAATTTGGTTTGCTAATATTTTGTTGAGTATTTTTGCATCTATGTTCATCAGGGATATTGTTCTGTAGTTTTCTTTTTTTGTGATGTCTTTGTTTGGTTTTGATATTCGCATGATGCTGGCCTCATAGAATGAGTTCGGAAGTATTTCCTCCTCTTCTACTTTTTGGAAAACTTTAAGGAAAATGGGTGTTAGGTCTTCACTATATGGTAAAATTCAGCAATGGTGCCATCTGGCTCAGGGTTTTTGTTCTTAGGTAGTTTTTTGTTTAATTTCATTGCTGGTAATTGGTCTGTTTAGATTTTCTGTTTCTTTCTGGGTCAGCCTTGGAAGGTTGTATTTTTCTAGAAAGTTGTTCATTTCTGCCAGGTTATCCAGTTTGTTTGCATATAATTTTTCCATAGTATTCTCTAAAAACTATTTGTATTTCTGTGATATCCATAGTGATTTTTCCTTTCTCAAATCTGATTCTGTTTATGTATGTACTTTCTCTTTTTTTCTTGATAAGTCTGGCTAGGGGTTTATCTGTTTTGTTTAATTTCTCAATGAACCAGCTCTTGGTTTCATTAATTTTTCTATTGTTTTATTCTTCTTAATTTTATTTATTTCTCTTCTCTGATCTATATTATGTTCTTCTTTCTGCTGACTTTGGGCCTCATTTGTGCTTCTTTTTCCAGTTTCAACAATTGTGAATTTAGAGTATTCATTTAGGATTGTTCTTCCTTCTTTAAATAGGCCTGGATTACTATATATTTTCCTCTTAGAACTGCCTTGCTGTTCTAAGTGTCCCACAGAAGGTGGGGCATTGTGCTGTTGTTTTTATTTGTTTCCATATATTGCTTGATCTCTCTTTTAATTTGGTCACTGATGTATTGATAATTTAGGAGCATTTTATTAAGCCTACATGTGTTTGGGAGCCTTTTTGTCTTCTTTATATAATTTATTTCTAGTTTTATACCTTTTGATGTGAGAAGTTGGTTGGTAGAATTTCAATCTTTTTGAATTTGCTGAGTCTCTTTTTGTGTCCTGTATGTGTTCTGTTCTGGAAAATGTTCCATGTGCACTTGAGAAGGATGTGTATCCTGCTACTGTTGGGTGGAGTGTTCTGTAGATGTCTGTTAGGTCCATCTGTTATAATGTGTTTTTCAGTGTCCCTGTCTACTTACTTATTTTCTGTCTGGTTGATTGTGCTTTGGAATGAGTGTTGTGTTGAACTCTCCTAAAATGAATGCATTGAATTCTATTTCCTCCTTTAATTCTGTTAGTATTTGTTTCACATATGTAGGTGATCCTGCGTTTGAGTGCATAGTTATTTATAATGGTTATATCCTTTTGTTGGACTGACCCCTTTATCATTATGTAATGTCCATCTCTCAACCTTCTTTTCTCAAAACAAAACCATCCCAGTTCCTATTTCCATTCTTTCATTTAGGAAAGACCACTTGAAGATGTGCAATGTTTGTATGTTAGGGGAGAATCCATGGATGCATGATGCCTGCTTTGTTCCTATGAAGGGCTCATAATCTAGTGGAAATCAGAACACATAAGTTGATCACTAGTAAAAACATGGAAGATAATAGAGTGGTAGCAATACTCCTGGACTAGACTCCAGTGAGGAACATGGACTGCAGTGGCAGAGGTCACGACAGGCTTAGTGACAAGGAGGGCCTGTGCAGAGGACCAGTGGGCTTTGGTTAAGCCAGTGATGAGCAGACTGCCTCCAAAACACAACTCTCAGTGCACTTTCAACAAGATCAGAAAGCTACCTCTTTGCAGCTATCTCTCAAATATGACCAGATATTAATGTTTTAGTGGCTATGAAATAGTGCCATTTTCTCAGAGTTTATTTCTTTTTTGAGTAGAAAAATGCCAGAGGTTTGAGAATATTTGTTATTGTCCCAAGGTTATTTTTGTTTTGAATGATAAAAAAAAAAAGAACATGTGACCTGTAACTTTTTTCCTGAATGTGTGTGTCCTCAGGGATTTAAAAGTTTGGTTACATATGTTTTAAGGGAAGAAGCAAGAAAAGCATAGATATGTAGGTGAGTGATTAGGGCTGGTGAGTGAGCTACTGTAAGCAGATTCTAGAGCAGGAATCAGCAGATTTTCTCTGTATAGGTGAAGATAATAAATATCTCAGGTTTTGAGGGCCACATATGGTCTCTGCTGCAAGTATTCAACTCTGCTGTTATAATATGAAAGCAGCCTTAGAAGATACAGACAGGAATGTGCATGGCTGTGTTCCAGTAAACAAGCCATGGTTTGCCACCTCCTCTGAAGGAAAAGTTAAAAGGGAAGTAGCACCTTTAACACCAACCAGGAAGCTTTCATGGTATTTCCTTGTGACAGAGGATTTCAAGGCCTCATCATTTTGATTGCCTTGGAGAACACAGTTCATATGATAACATGCCCCTTTTATCATCAGATTCTATCCAAGCTACCACAAAAATCTGCAAAGAAAGCTAAGCTGTTTCCTCAGACAGATGCTGGAAATAATGCAGTAAATCTTGCTCTCCAGTGCCTTAAGAATTTGCATTTATGCACCTGATGTTACGTTTGTTCTTAGTATTGTGATACTAATTAAGTATGTTCTTAGTAGGGAAATAGCAGTTTGTTTTTAGTATTGTGATACTAATTAAGTATGGGAAATATGTACAAGTCCATATTACTGTTTAACTGATTCCCAAGACCCATGCCTTGTAGATTTGATCACAAGACTGAGAAGTCTGTCAGGGATAACTGCCCAAACACACACAGTAATGGTTGAATACTGCTAAGAATCCAGTCAACAGGGTTGCCCTATTTCACAAATTAAAATCCAGGGTATCCAATTAAAAATGTATTTCAGAGAAACAACAAAAAATATTCTCATATTCAATATTTGGGACATACTTATACTAAAATATTATTTGTTTATCTAAAGTGCAAACTTTCAGCTGAGCATCCTGTGTTTTATTCGATAGTCCCAAAAATGAAGATATATGATGAATTCATTTTTGCTCTATATATTGCATCATCATGTCAGTTGATTAGTTATCCCTGAAGGTTGTTCTTTTTTTCATTGTAGGAGTCTAATGACAGTTGAATCTCATTAAATTCGACCTCACTGATTTAGAATTTGGATTATTTATGCAAGGAGTATGCTAAAGTGCACTTTATTCTCTTCATGAATTTACAAAGCCTATATATCATTGATAGTACAAACAAACCTGAAAGAGAACTATTTATCTCCTTGGGAGACTACAAATAGTGTAATTACAATGTGATCAGAGGCTATCGTTATCTAGACTGCTTTTCATTTAATAATTACAGATCATTCTGTCATTCATTAAAGCAAGGCAAGACTTTACCATGCTAAGGCAGGTGCAGCCACCTCAGTCCCCACGTCCCCCTTAGTGCCTCACCTGTCCTGGGGACACAGTGTGTGTTTGCCAGTCTCTCCTGTCTTGCTGTGTTTTAGTCATTGTGCTCTCTAGAACCTCACACAAAGTTCACTACTTGGCACTCACTACATGCCTGTTAGTTGAATTCATGAATGAATGCTATCTGCATATATTAAAATACCCAAACTGTCTTTGTTGCTAAGCAATTTACATTTTAAATTAAAAAAAATATGATGTGGTCTTCCCTTTATTCCAAATTTTAGTACACAAAGACAATTTTTGTAAAGTTAGTTTCATTGCATAATTGCCTTTCAGAGGCTAACACTGAAAACATGTTATTGAAATTCCACAAGTGTTTTATGAGGAGAAAAAGAGAGAGAGTTCTTGTGAGATCACCATGAGTGCCCCTGTGAGCTCTCTTCTGAGAGAGCTTCCTTCTGTTCTGGGACTACAGGTCTCTGAGTGTATCCGGCTGCTAACGATGCTAGCGAGGCTTAGCCTGCAGTCTTCATTACTTGCCCACATTTGCCCTGATCATGTAACCAACACACACACACACACACACACACACACACACACACACACACACACGCACGCACACACACAAGTAAACTCCCATATGTCTTACAAAGAGATGAAGAGGGATTCTTTCAATTGCATACCAATTATGGTTGTCACCATAAATAATACATTAGTGACTTAAAACAAGTATGTAGACAGTTACACATTTTAAACCACATTTGTCTTATTAGAAACCACTGTATACAAGCCATCTGAAAGACCCCTTGGAACTCCCAGTGAATTCTGGACCACTCTTGAGGGAAATTAAGCATGAGTGGTTTGTACCTGGAAAGCGTAAAGCCAGAATACCTATTGCCTGATAGTAGTTGGCATCCAGCCTTGGGAACACCCTCAGATGAGGCTTGTCCTCAGTTTCCACCTGTGGCTTCTTTCTTCTGTTTCCTCCAACATAGAAAAAGGATAAATAGGAACCTGGGGATTAGGAATTAAATCTCCCTTTCTGTCCCTAATCCTACTCATATCTCAGGACTATTTTTTCTTAGCAATCTAGGGAAATCAGGAGGATGTGCTGAACACAGGTCAGCATTGAAGCAGAGCTGGGCATGCAGTTCCTGGGTGCACTGCTTTCTTGTAAGAGAGTCTAGTCATGGTCTGACTACTGCCTCTGTTCTCCCTTCTCTCACAGCACCCTGGAGGGGTACTATGTGGATGATGCCCTGCAGGGCCAGGGGGTTTACACTTACGAGGACGGGGGAGTTCTCCAGGGCACTTATATAGACGGAGAGCTGAATGGTCCGGCCCAGGAATATGACACAGATGGGAGACTGATCTTCAAAGGGCAGTATAAAGATAACATTCGGCATGGAGTGTGCTGGATCTATTACCCAGTAAGTCTTGTGGCTCTTCATTTTGCTGGAAAGTAACATGCTTTAAGACAGTGCTTTGACTCTTCACAATAAAGAGTAAGATGTATTCTTTATGTTAGAAAATGTGATCTGTGAAACATAAGAGTCGCAGTAGCTGAAGCCAGCAGTTAATAAGTGTGCCCTCTCACTGATATTCACTAGTGACCGAGATTGTTAATCCTTGGATCTACTATTAATTCCTTTTCATTGTTGTTTTGGAAAGGAATAATTAATCATGATTAAAACCAATTGGGGCAAATTATTTTTAAATATTTTACAACAGTCTTTCCTTATGCCCTGTTCCTAAGGTATTCCAATTGGGGAAAATTGGTTTTATTGTACCACTAATAAAAACAAGAATATATTGCTTTTTAAAGAGATTACTTTGGTATATAGAAAGAGATGGTAGAATATTTCTTTGTTGCTATTAATTTTAGTTTATTTCTCATGTGTAAGAACTCATCCAGGAATTTACCTTCACTTTGGACTTACTAAACTGTTGTTAACTTGATTCTACTTTACAGTCCTACTCCCTATGTTATAAAGTGCTGTGTGGTTTATATTGCTTGAATTAAGGTGACTAAAATTAACTTGCCTTTGAGTAGTTGATAACATTTTATGATATTTCTGGACTTTACTAGAGCAAAAAGATGTGACAAAACTCATGACTGGGGGTTAATGCTCTGACTTTTGTTTGCATTTCAAATACCCCATCTGTTATTAGTGAATTTCCAGAAAATGTGTCAGAAAATAGACCTTACAAAACATTTTATCTAGTGTTTTATTTTGCCTAGATCTTAGGTCAAAATAAAGTTTGTCCTACTCTGAGCTCTATCTTCTCATGATTGAAAAGCATTCACAAAAACAAATGATCTATTACATGTGTAACAAGAAAAGTAGCCCCTGCTAAACTACTCACACATTATTGTTCTTTAAAAATAAGTTATACCTTAGGAACAGGGCATAAGGAAAGACTGTTATAAAATATTTAAAAGTAATTACTACAGTATTTACAGACCTTCTTGGTGTAGGATGTGCAATGATCAAAAGCCCTTTCAATTACTGCTTAGAAGGCAAGCAGGAGAGGGGAGTGGTGGAGGCGCTCACAGCCCAGCACACTGAAACTTTCATCAATGATGAGTAGGTAGGGTGAGCATCTGGCTGGCCCAGGCTAGGGAGCTGCTGAAATGATAGTGGATCTTGGAGTCAGGATAAGGGGAACTCCATGTGGGAGGATCAGTATAGGAAGGAGGCAAAATACGGATTACCAGATTCTCCCACTATCTGTCATCTCACTTTTGACTATGATCAGTTAAAGTCCCTAGAGGTCACAAATGTACTAAGGTGAATGGATCCACCTCACTCAGGGTAGTTGCTTTTTCAAATCTTAATATACAGCTACACTTGAGCCTTTGACTTTAATTACTATCTTATTAAATACTGAGAGAAGACTGCCTTGTAAGAAAGCACTGGGGGGGTACAAGCTTTCACAGCTGACTCACTTGGTAACCCTTGCTTTATGTATGATACCTGCTGGCAGTTGAGGGCGCTGATCACACCTCTCCACCTTCTGGATTGGGAATCAACTAAGAAATAGACATAGGAGCCAGGGATCAGAATGTGGGTTTTATCATGCCGATGCTGGATTGGAGATGTGGTGCGAACCCAAAATCAAAATGGGCTTTTACTCCATCACCCTGTGAACTGAACAGATGGACCAGCTGCAGACAGAGCACTAGAAAGTTGCAGGTTTCCCCTGGAGGAGTAGGGCCTGCCTGGAGGAGCTCCCCAAGGAGGAGACTGGATTGGAGAAGGGAACAGGTACAACCCGCAGGCCCTGCCAGTTCCCAGGAGAGGGTAAGTGAAAATGCAGAGGACCCCTGGAGCAGCACCCTACCCAGTAAAGAGACAGGTGTCAGTGGTGTCAGACATGCCTTCTCACTAATCAAATGAATGACTCCCCCTCCCATGTGGAAGAGCCATTGAGCAGGAGAGAGAAAGCAACAGCTTCTTCCCCAACACTCCTGGACACAGCAGCAAGGACATTTTTTGTGACATGGGGTCAAGACAGGAACACAGGGAGGAAAAAATAATGATTTGCCCTACAGCATTTATAAGCTCACTCTGAGGACAGTTTATTCCTTTGAAAAATTTACCTTGATGAAACTGATGTAAAGATTTTAATTAAAACTTCTTAACTCCTTTTGGAAATAAAAGAAGAATCTCTCCTTTATCATTCTAGACAAATTAAGATTCACTGTCCCCCATCCAAAACCAGAAGTTTAAAGTGTTTAAGGGAAAAAAATGTGAGCCCCTAGGAAGACAGAAATCTGTTATAAATAAACAGTAATGTCGATGGCTTATATTAGTCACAGTATGTAAGAAGCACAAGTGCTCCAACACCTCTCAGCTCAATAATCATCACTGGAAGCCTGACGGCAGATCTTGCAGAAAATATCTCCGTTTATGCTGGATTTATTAAAATTAAGTCAGGGAAGAGAGAGAGAGCAATAATATATCCCTAATGCACTTTCTATCCATAAAAAATGCTTCCAAGTATTTTTCTCTCTATGGAAGTGCTGTGATTCCTTTCTAAATTTGTAAGTTTTTTTTTTAATATACAAAAAGCAATTAAGACCACGGTGAACTGTAGAAATCATGTACCTAATGTTACTTATTCCTGCTGCTTCTCAGTAAGCACATTTGGGACCACTCAGAAGTCACCCTACATCACTGACTATGAGTAGCTTTTCCTAGAATGTTGACTTGGGGAAATAACCAAGCTTTTAGAAGATATCATAGCATTACTATTGTTATGTCAAATCCACAAAGTTCTCAGATTTTCGCTTATACTATCAGGACCTTCTGGGTGGAGGTTGTGGGGAGGAAACATCTCTTACACTCTTAATTAGATTATTCTTTGATTATTAATTAGATTATTTTTTTGGTACTCTAGTTCAATTCAAAGAGTATTTATGGGTCACCTCTGGCCCTCACCAGGATACAAAATTGTGTGATAGCTTCTGCCCCACAGTGTTTAGTGATCCTTAGGAATGAAGCGAATGATGGTTAAATAGGAGACACAGCTGGCTCCACTCCTGGAAGGAGGAAGGAGGGAGCAGTAAATAATGAAGAGTGGGAAGAAAGAAGTCATAAGAAGGAAGAATTTAGCTGTTCTTGTTTCCCTTTTCCTTCATCCACAAAAAGTAATGGCGTAGGATTCTCAGAAAGGCAGTGTCCTCAAGTCCTTCCATTTATTTTTTAGAAAATGCAGACAGCTCTCTTTACTTGTGTACACTAAATTAATTCTCAAATACGTCTGAACTAAAGGTTTTCTTAATAGACCAGAAATGCAGAATTCAATGTGGAGGAGTAAATTCACCTGAGTAGCGGGTAAGAATGTCTGGTTACAGATCCCCATCACATTTGGTATTGACCCAAAGTAACACTTAGTTACATTTCCTTCCAATGTTTGTACCTAATATTACAAACATATTTGTTTCTTAGATTACAAACCAAGATAGAATATGTTAACTTGTCTAGGATCATCAAATGCAATTTAGTTTCTGACTCTCCAAATCCAGCTGATACACCTTCTATGCATAAAACTTCTGCAACTTCTAGCAGTTCATTTGTGTGGGCCGGATGGGAAGAGATGCATCATGTTTGTCTCCCTTGTGTGAGAAGCTCCAAGTTGTTAGACTGTTATGATCCATATTAGTGCTATTAACAATGCAAGTGCACAAGAGAAATTTCTCTTAATTCGTGTCATATAGATAAATACTATATGTAATGTTTACTGGTTTTTGGTTTCTCCTATCAGGATGGAGGCAGCCTGGTAGGAGAAGTGAATGAAGATGGGGAGATGACTGGAGAGAAGATAGCCTATGTATACCCTGATGAGAGGACTGCCCTTTATGGGAAATTTATTGACGGAGAGATGATAGAAGGAAAACTGGCTGCCCTCATGTCCACTGAGGAGGGAAGGCCTCACTTTGAACTGATGCCTGGAAGTAAGTTGACTCTGCTTTAGGTGGGTTGGTCTAATTCCAAAGTGGGTTGTTAGGGCTTAATTTCTTTATTTAATCCATTTTAATGGTGTATGAATCAGCTTTGCTGACATCAGACACCTCAATGGTTTAGAACAGCAAACACAGGTCTGCCAACAAGCTATACGCCAGCTGGTCTAGGTTGGGCTTGGCAGGGCCAGGCTGCACTTGAGGCTTCTAATCAGGTTTGCTCCATATGTCTTAATTGGGCCCAGGCTGAAGGGACAGTGGTGACAGGATCAAGATTTTCTTAGATGTGTCATAGGAAGCAGAGCATGAGCATACACCTACAATGCCTCTTGAAGCCTTAGCTTGGAACTGACACAATATCACTTTCACCTACTTCTCATTGGTCAAAGCAAGTCACATGGCCAAGCCAAATAGCAGTGAGACAGGGAAAAGCACACTGTGTACTTTAGTAGCAGCTGCTGGCCAGTAACATAACAAGGGCATGGCTATGTAATCTAATGCAAGGAAGAAGTGAAGAAATGACAGCAGTAATTCAATCAATTTCAAAAAGTTGTATCTCAGGAAAAAACCTGAAATACAGTTTAATGATATTAAAGAATCAAATTTGGTAGATCTCCAAGTTGGTACAAATTATAAAGCTGATGCAGCCTGAGCTCTGATTGGGAAAGTTAAATGCATATTTAAAGTTAAAGGCATCCCTTCCCTCCTTCAGAGCCCAGCAACTTCATGGAGCACACACCCAATACATGAGTTAGTCCAGTGGAATCCATAGTAGAAAAAATCCTATTTCCTTTTAGAAGTATAGTATGGCACACTACACATTTTTTCTGAGTATAAAGTTATTTGTAGAAAATCTGGAAAACATACCAGTTAAAAATCAAGATTTTGTATATTGAGTGACACAACATAAGAAAGCTGTTTGAATTGGTTTGATTCCTCGAAAACAATATGCGCATATACATATTTCCAATCCAAGTTAAAGTTCCAAGGAGAAAGGAGTAGAAAAGGTAATAAATCTAGGCATTAGTAGGCCTAAATATTTAGCTTTTTGTGGTCTCAGTGAGAATCTCCATGGGATGATTGCCCAAAAATAGGAAATCTAGCATTTGCATTCAGGTCGAACTTGGGTTATTTTAAATGTCTCCATGTTTGTCTAAGTTAAAAATTGAAGCAGTCTAAATGCAATGTGGGATTCTAGATTGGATCTTAGAACAGAAAAAGGACAGTTGTGGAAAAACTGGCAAAATCTGAATAAAGTTTGGAATTTAATTAATATGTTGGTTTCTTACTTTTGACAAACATACCAAGTAATGTGAGAAGCTAAAGTGTGGGATACCGGGGAGGCACTGTCCTCTCTTTGCAACTTTTCTGTAAATTTAAAATCATTCTAAAATGAAGTTATTGTTTTTAAGTGGAACAGTAATTTTTGAACTCCAAAATCTGGTATCTGTGCTCTTCACATATGTTTTGAAAGGAGACAGTGTTACCATGCTCAGAAATGAAGACACTTGGGCCAGAGGAGGATCCCAACTAGTTATTAAAATTTTAACACTTCAGAAGTGGCACATTTTTAGTGGCAAGAGTCCTGAACTTAAGAGTCACCAAATTTGAGTCTCAGCTCCAGCATTTATTGTTCTATGGTCTTGGGCAAGTTATTTATCTTTTCACAATCTGTTTCTTCATTATAAAACATGGATAGTGGCACCTACCATAAAACAGCACAATGGAGCTGATTGTTATTGGTATGTTCTTCTTAGTAAAAGTAAGAAACATATTTTGGGAAGTGAGAGTACTCATTCTCAAAGGAGTGATTATTTTTCTTAGAACTCCTGGTTGCAAGTCACAAACACCCTCTTCAAGTTAACATAAGGCCAAAAAAGGAGGGGAGGTGCTGACTTGCAAGGTTCTGGCAAGCCTTAGTTATTTTCAGGATATGTCGAGCAGTTTAGGTTTGAAATGGGTCAGGATGCATGGCTGCTCTGAGTGACTGGGCAGAACCCAGGCACAGAGCTTGGCGTTAGTGTTCTGCTGTGTCTCTCTCCCCGTCGCCCTGCTTCAGTTACAATTTGAACTGCTGACTGGCCGGCAGATGAGGGCATAAAGGGTCACATGGCCATCTGGTCCAGCTGGTGGAGGAAGGAGGAGGAAACCTTAGCAAACATCCTTCCTGCAGTGCTCCCAGCCTGCCCCTCACCTACCTCTCCCCATACACCCTTTCTCTTTATAGTTCCTAACTGTGCCTGGTTCCCTACTTGTTTCATGCTCATTTTCTAATTAGGCCTCTGGTTGGGATTTCTCCTTGCCTCATCTCTTCACCTCTCCACAGAGGAACTCCTTTCCCTGGCTAATTCCTACTTCATCTTTAAGGCTTGGCCCTCAGTCTCTTAAAATTAATGTTTGTCACATGAATGAATGGATTCTAGTCAAAGGACATAGTACAAACTCTAGAGGAGAGGAGGCAAAGTAAAGGACGTGTTCCGTCTTCCTGTAGCATAGGCCAGCCCTGTGGAATAGAGGAAGGGACAGTCAGCGTTGGAAGAGAAGGCATCAGCTCCTTGAGAACAGGAAGAGGTGTTTCTCCTTCTCGTGGCTGCACAGCCCCGATACCACGCTTTACCTGGATTGGCCCTTGGTACATCTGTGATGAAAGGTTTAGTCTAAGGAAAGGAGACTAAAGTTCTTAGGACAATTCCTGCACAATAAGAATGTGTATTCCACAGACAACTTTGATTTAAGTGTGTGTTTTTTTCTTCTCTGAACTAACTTCCTTTAATGGATTATGTGCCCCCAGATCCATCCCTCATCCTTCTCTTGCCCTGCTTTTATTAAAGGGGTCTCCTGCCCCCTGCAGGCTCTGTGTCCAGGGCCCCTGCGCATTGGCTTCTGTCTGGGTCTTGGCCACAGGAAGGCACTGGACCAGGATGTAGAGAAGGAGGGGATAGAGAGAAGCCCTCCCTGTGTCCAGTGGTGTCTCCTGAATCCCTCTCCCACCAGGAAGGCCCCACATCGTTCTAGCTGCCCTTGGCTCCCCCAGCTCTAGAGCACCACCTCCACCTTCGTCCTTGTGACTTAGGGTGGTAGCTTCCTGCTCCTCCCAGTTTCTTGGCCCCTCACTGCCGCTTTTGGCTTCCCTGCATAGCCAATATCCTGAGTTAAATTCTCTCTCCTTGAAATTCTCAACTGGTCTGTTTCCTGGTTAGACACTGACAGATCTGGATTGTTATCTAACTTTCAGTTTGAGATATTAATTTGGGTTTTTGATTTGTGTGTGTGTGTGTGTGTGTGTGTGTGAACAGCACGAGTACCTGGTAACCATTGGTAGTCACTGAACAATTGCTTAATGGGATTATTTGTGGTGCCTTAATGCCCAAAATAATTTACTTTGCAGGAGGAAGCCCTCCAATTCCAACGTATATTTCATTACTTATTAGCCATTGGAGAATCGAATGGCTTCCTTGTGCCCTGGGAGGATTCTCTGAGGCTAATCCTTTGCAGAGAACCAATGGTAGTTCTAGGACAAATGTGTACCTTAGTTTCTGAAGTAAATTACTAATTGGCTTCTACACCACCTTAATAGAAGTAACATCACTTCGTTAATGCTTTATCAAAAGCAGTTCTGTTCTCCCGAATACTGGAGAGGCTGAATGTTTGTTTTTAGTGAAGGAAACAATTGCCAGGGCCGGGTGATTAGAAGCTACACTCTGTGTCTAATATGAAGGAAACTACTAGAAATATTTAAAACCAATATCCATTCTGATCTGACCAGATTGGGATTTCTGTCTCAAAATTTCATGACAAAGCATTTTCTTAATTAAAAATTTTAATTACAGAAGTATCTTTTAAGCCATTTGGGTAAAGTAAAATCAAAAGCAAAAATGACGTTTTAAGGGATACATGAGATGGCTTTTCACTAAGACCTGAAACTAAAAGTCAAGAGCAACTCTAAAAACTATCCATTGATCACTGAAGAATTTATTCTAGTCATTATAACTTGAATGACATTTTTCATCATTTCGCTCTTTCTTGTCCCGTGGATAGAAATGTTTAAAATGCTTTTCCCTAACTCTGTACCTGCACTGAGACTTTTGTTTGCTTTTTAGGTTCAGTGTACCACTTCGATAAGTCGACTTCATCTTGCATTTCTACCAATGCTCTTCTTCCAGATCCATATGAATCAGAGAGGTAATTTTTTCCTGTGGTTTTAATGACAATGTTAATGCAAGGTTAGATAACCCTAGTGCTGGAAGCTAATGCTCCTCCATGGCTCTCTGCTCAGGCCATGTTCCTGAACAGAAAAATATATTCATAACATTCCCATGAAGAGTGTTTTATTCCCGTGTAGAATCTGTCCCTTCTGAGAGTTTTCTACCATAAAGCCTAGAACAGCCCGTGCATCAATCCTAGAATGAAACATCTACATAGAGCAGCTGGGCCAGACAGCCAGCTCTGTGCCCTGCCCAGGTGTCCCCTTTCTGGCGCTCTGGTACCACAGTTTGTGCTGCAGCTACTCGCTGGCCTCTGGGAGGAACATTTCAGTCTTTAAAGCTCTAGCTTAGGCAGGAACCAAAATGTGTCCATTTCTACTCAGCCCAGCTGAAGGGGTGTGGAATACAAGACAATTTCTTTATTTAGTAAAGGAGAAGAGGAGTGATACAAAAAACATATAAGAAGCATAAAAACATTCCAGCTTACAAATTTTTTGATTTGTGAACTCACTCCCAGAGCATCAAGTCCTGTTCCATTTCATCGTATCTAAACTCCAGCTCTTGATTCTTGGTATTGCTTTTCCTCTGGTATCCTGCCTGGGATTCTTATTCCCTAGCAACTGGCCTGTTTATGAGTAAGAGTGCCATCTGCAATTGGTTTTCTCCTTGCCCTGCTCTTTCTTTGTAAGCATGCCTTACAACATGTGACTTGAGCTCCCATCTGAGACATAGGCCTCTTCCCTGGTTTAACTGACAGGGCTGACACCACAATGTCACAGTGCATGAATAGCCTCTCTCTTGACATGAGATTCTGGCCCATTTACAAAGGGAAGAGTTTGGTCTCTTGTATCAGTGTTTTCTGAGCAGCATAACGATACCCTCAGAATTGTTAACGGCTTATGAAGGCAGACATTTTCTCTTCTGCTCATGGTTCTGTAGGTTGGCTGAGGTTCAGCCACTTTTAACTGGGCTCAACTTGGCTAGGCTGGACCAGGCTCATCTCCAGGTTCCAAGTTGGACTCAGATCAGTTTCACATGTCTTCATTCCAAGACTCAGGCTAATGGAACCACAGCCCCCTGGGCATCTTCTTGTGAAGATGAATGGAAACTGGAGAAGGCTGGCAGAAACTTGCCATGCCTCCTAACACCTGAGGCCTGGTGTGAAGTCACATCTGCCCACATTCTCGTTGCAAAGGTGATCATATGGTGTCTTGCCAATGTGTTTCATCCCTGGGCAAGTTCACTGTGGATTCAATGTGACCAAAGAAATGACAATAGAATTTTCTTGGGTGAAAAGGTTATACCCAAATTTATTCCCACGGTGGCAGGTTAATCACTAGAATCCCATCCACTCAGAGCGAGTCTTCGTGCAGCAAGCCAGTCTCTGCCCCTGGGCCTCTCTACCCTTGCAGCCATCTCAGTCTCTGTCCTCGGTGCTGCCACCACTCCAGTCTCCTCTCTGCTCTCCTGTAGCCTTGCAGCCGTGCCACCATATCGCCCAGAGCAGTGGGTGAAGCTCTTTATATAGAATCAATAGCCATGTATTGCCCACATGTGTGTAGTGAGCAAGCCAGCCAGGGCCAGGTGAGAATCCTGGCCCCAGGAACCTTCACTTCATCCACATATGGCCAAGCCCAAAGACAGTCAGGCAGGGATATGGCCTCTTCCTGCTTGGAAGGAGGCACCACGTCATATGGCAAAGTAGCAAGATTTATAATTCTATCACAGGGAAGAATAGAAGCAAGTACTGGAAGCAATAATTCAGTCTTCTAGTACATAAATTAAGTGTAAGATCCACTAACAAAAATTACAGATGATCAGTCCCACCAGAGTCATTACAACACAGTGCCCTTAGAACTGGAATAGCTGTTGATGGAGCAGGTGCTCTCTTATTAAATCCAGTCCAATAATACCATTTTCTTGTAAAACAGTGGTTGGCAAACTTTTTCTGTAAAGGGCCACATAGTAAGTATTTTAGGCCTTGTAAGTCTGTTGTAACTATTCAACTCTGCCTTTATAACATTAAAGCAGTCACAGACAATACCAAACAATTAGGTGTGTCTATGTTCCAATAAAACTTTATTTACAAAAATGGGCAGCAGCCAGATTGGGCGCCCAGGCCTTAGTTACCTGACCTGTTATAAATTCCTTTGTTAGGAAGTGCTTGTTGGATATATTTTATAAACTATCTGTCACTCTTTCATGTGAAAGATTCATCTTGGGGGATAATTAAAACTCTTTTCCTCCTCTTTGGCATTGATAAACTCAGGTATAGCATTAATTAGTTTTGTAAATGTTTTAACTTGTCCAGGAAGCCAGTGAAAATTGTCATTAACTAAAAATATAAAGTTTTTTTTAAAACCTTCTACCAAGCACTGAGTAGCTTTATGAACATATAGTAATAATCCCCTTATTAGAGAGAAAATTTTGAACACCACTCTTAAAAGAGGTGTAAGTACCAGTTATTCAATTTCCAATGCCAAAATATTGTGGTTTAACTATCCTCAACATTTTGTGTATCCTCCCTTCCTTCCTTGTTGGATTATTTTGAATTGAAATTTTGAATTGTGTAGCCATAATGCTATTTTGGTGGTTGATATAAGGAGCAACATATCAAACTAAAAGAATCATTATTTGACTCTTTTTCTTATTTAGGGTTTATGTTGCTGAATCTCTCATTTCCAGTGCTGGAGAAGGGCTGTTTTCAAAGGTAGCAGTGGGGCCTAATACTGTTATGTCTTTTTATAATGGAGTCCGAATTACACACCAAGAGGTAAGTGGGGTAAAAGTGGAAAATCAACATGATTGGTTAAAGGGCTTTGTTTCGAACACCCTTAATTTTCTCATTAGTCCCTTTACTTTAATATTCACTGAAAATATAAGGGAACAAACAGATAGGCTTTTTTGTAAAATTGATGTGATATTGTCTGTTAGTCTTCAGATTGCTATAGTACAAATACCGTAGACTAGGTGTCTTATAAACAACAGGAATGTATTTCTTCCAGTTCTGGGGTCTGGGGAGTCTGAGATCAAGGTGTCAGCAGACATTTTGGTTGTCTGGTGAACCAGAGCCCACTTCCTGGTTCATAGCTGGCCCTCTTCACTGTCACTTGTCATGGTATGGGGAACGAGGGGCATTCTGGGGCCTCTTAGAAGGGTACTGATCCCATTCGTGAGGGCTTTGTCATCCTCATGACCTAATCACCTCCCAGAGGCCACACCCCCTAATGCTATCACACTGGGGATTAGGTTTCAACATATATGAATTTTGCAGCAGATACAAACATTCAGTCTATAGCAGAAATTTTTGAGCTTTTTTCTTATTTGACTCTTTTTCTTATTTTTTTGGAGTTCCACAGCTGTTTTATAGAAACTGGGATAGTGCTATAATTGCTTTGTACTGGACTATACCCAGTCTGAAATATTGAGATCTAATTTGACTCTGTCAATAGTTAATGTATGACCTTGGACAGGATGCTTTATAGAAAGGCCCCCTACCTCTCTTTGTGTGAAAGCCGTACAATAGCCTACATCTAGCCAGGAAGGGTTCTACTGCCAAAAATAAAAAGTTAAAGGGTTGAGATGCCACCTTTGCTATATTTCTCAGATTTCATGTATTTTGTTTTTGTTTCTTTATTTCACAATGAATTTCCTCTAGTGTCTTCATAAGGGCAAAATTTTCTATGCTTTTAGCACAGCTTGGTCTCTCCATCTGGTCTCACTTGTAAGAAGTGTATGGGACTTAAGCTTACCACTCAAATCCCACATTCATGTCTTCACTTTTTCCATTTATTGCTATAAAAAGCTAAGGGGGGAAATGCCTTGAAATAATCAAGAAATTGCACATTCAGAGTAGTTGCAGAGGCAAAGATAGCTATGCGTTCAGCCCGAGCTGCGGCCTGGCACACAGTGTCCCCTTGTGATGGCCAGACCCCTGTACTGGCAATCCTGAAAGTCCAAGAAATTCAGCACATTAAAGGTGGCTCAAGATATTGATATATAACTTATTTATTCAAACATTTTACAAATAAGGAAACTGAAGCCCAGAGAGATTAAGCAATTTTCCCCAGGGCACAAATACAGTATCTAGCAGAGTTCAAGCAGGGTTTCAAATAGCAGAATCTGGCTCCATGCTGAAATTCACTTTGCTGTACTGTAAAAATGAATGAGGCACCCTCTTTGCCCTCGTGAAATTTAGATTCTGTTGGGGACATGAGGAAAATACACCACTAATGGTAACATAGGTCTGGTACCAAGCACCATATATCAGACGTGACAAGTCTAGAATATTAAAATCCACAAAGATGTTTTTTGCTTCTATCACTGCTGTATCCCCTGCACCTGGAACAGTGGCTGGCCTATGGTAGGCACTCAGTAAATATCTGTTGAATAAATCTCAGGTATGAATAATAGCATGATTGTACTTTACAGGCAAGGAGGGTGGTTTACTCTGAGACAACCGTTTGGATGAAAATGTGATCCTATTTGCTCTAAAAGTCTGTTCTGCTGACATCAGCAGATCCCAGGGTGTGGTTTGGAGTGGGGAAGCCTGTTGGTCACTGCAGGTAGTGAGGACTGTGAACATAAGAAAATGCGCTGGTGATTGGCGCCTGTCTGTGCTGGTCACATTGACTGCCGCCCTGCAACAAGGGTGTAGGACTTCCCTGGAGTGCAATTTTGCATTCCTTATAGTTCTTGTTCCATTTGATCTTACTTTTTTCTTTTGCCTCATCTTCCCTCGGGGTTCAAGGGATTTGGGGGCTGATCAAAGAAAAAGATATGAAATAAAAGGCAATCACACACAACAGCTTTATGATACTGGGTGGCACTGGCACAGAGCCCTCCCAGCATAAGACCATCCAGAGGCCTGTGGCACAGAGGCCACCATCCAGAGGGGGAGGAGGGGAGGGAAGTCCTGGGAAAGAGCGGGATCAGAGAGAGGACTTTAGCTGTGCAGGTGTTGTGCCACAGTGAGGAGTCTCCAAGCCAGTGATCCAGAGGACAGGAGCAATCCAGGGTCTTTATGTTGTGGGGTGTATCTTATCTAGTGCTAACAGATGTGAGGTGAGGTGTCCCCTGGAAAGCAGACTGTAAAAGACTAAAACTGTGTTTTGTTTGGGCTACTTAAAAAAATAATTAGATATGTAAAAATTTGAGTTTGGTGCTGATGGGCTTTTGAGATAATAGGTCTTGGTCTGCAGTGAAAAAATTAACAACCTGGGGACATCTGATTATATTTTTGTGTGTCTTTAAAGGGGATTTTAAGACCTTTTTCTCATATAAGGAAAAATCAGTGAATAGTAAATTGAGCTGCCCTATGCTGCCCACACATACTGTTTGCTCACAGGTGTGCAGAAGGCTCCCTGAAGTTCTTCTCTTGTATGTAGCACTCAAACCATGATGTTTAAGGACAAATGAGTTACTATCTCTGATGTTCTCGAAGCTGTCAGGGGAAGGTCCTCTCCAGAGTTCGCTGTCTTGTTCTCCGCAGGTTGACGGCAGAGACTGGGCCCTGAACGGGAACACCCTCTCCCTCGATGAAGAAACCGTCATTGATGTGCCTGCACCCTACAGCCACGTGTCCAAGTACTGTGCCTCCTTGGGACACAAGGCGAATCACTCCTTCACCCCAAACTGTATCTATGATATGTAAGTCTGACTCTGAGCTGCAGGGGCAGATCTGTGCCCTACTCCTCGGACCCTGAGACAGAGGAGGGCACCTAAAAGGTATTATCCTACCCCAGAGGAAGGCCACTCCCACAGAATGTCTGAGGCTCCTCTCCCCAGGGACCTCGCAGTTATGACTTGAAACTGAGACTCTAAACAGCCCCACTTTCTGGCCTTGGCAGTCTAAGAAATGGACCAAGTGCTCCAAAAAGTAAACACACAATGGAAATACTCTACTTAGTGAGTTCTCTGTTATGGTGGCTTTTTGTCCTTCAGTTGTCCCATTCTGGAAAATTAAGGATAGTGTTATTTGAAATATAAATAAAAATTAAATTATTCTGCATAGTGAGATCAGTGAACCCTTTTATGTCTTGAAAGGGAGAGGAAAATAAAATCTTAAGTAATATAAATCATCTGTTATACCAAATTCATAAAGACAGAATGTAAATCAGTAGTTGCCCAGTCCTGGGGGGAGTGGAGGGAAATGGGGTCCATAGCTTATGAGTATGGGTTTCTTTCCAGGGTAATAAAGTGTTCTAAGATTGAATAGTGGTCATAGTTGTGCTGCCAAGCAGCTGCATCTGGGGAGGTCTCTCCCTGCACACTAGGTGAAACTTCAACCAGATTGGGGAGGATTCTTTGATCGAGAAAGAATTCATGAACAGGTCAGGCGAGTGTAGGAAAGGAAGGAATTCATTAAAGCAAGAGTAGTCGTGGATGGCAGAAGCCATGCAGGCAGCAGAGAGCAAGGAAGAGCAGAGGGAGGAAAGGGAAGCTCACTGAACTGCTCAGCAGATCTCCTGCCAACTCTTGAAGCCAACTCTTGAAGCCAGGGTCACCTGGCGTCCAGTGTCTGATTGAATCTGCACAGCATGGGAACTAAGTCCCTACCACCCCAGAATTTGGGGGCGCCTCAGACCACTGGATGGAGTGAGATTATGTTCTGAGAACTTCCCCAAAGCAAAGAAAGGAGATTTTCCGCAGGCTACTAAAAAGCATGATAGTACAGCTGAAGTCCTGTCTGTGTCACCCAGACAATGAGAACTTGCAAGCCCAAATCAGAGCTCTCAGTAGCCCTTCCTCACTTGTCTGAAGTAGAACAGAGAGAGGGAAGACTTGTGTATAAGTCTAGAAAATTGAATGAAGTAGCGAAGAAACAAGATGCTTACCACTGGGAAAAGTGGTCTCTTTTTAATCTCCCAAGAGGTTTGGAAGTATGTGGAGACAAAACACAGTGAGTTAAGCAGCAAGAAGTCTTTATTTAAGGCAAAGTACACACTTGAAGAAAGGGGAGTGCAGGCAGCCTCAGAGGAGAGGTGTCCTTAAAGGCTTAGGATTCATGTCTTTTAAGGATTTCAAGAATGGGGTAAAGGGCCAAGGGAGTGTAGGCTTGACTTGTGGTCTCATGATGTCTATCTTTGTTGAGAGACATGTCATCATGCAATAGTACGTTCTCTAGATGCTCTGTAAGATAAACTTAACACAAGGAATTTAGTGCTTCCATTCTTCTCCTAGATAGTAGTTACCGTCTAGCAGTGGAAACATACCGTTTAGGACTGCTCACCCAGCCTTGAGATAGAGGCAGTTGTTGATTAGTTATCATACAATATGTTAGGACTCTTACCTCCTAACTCCTGGCTTTTAAAGTGTAATCTTAGCCTTAAGATGGAGTCCCTACTGTTCTTACTATTTATATCTTGGCATTTTCCATCATAGGAAAAAATTAATCATGATCATGCTGCTTGTCCCAAGTCCCTGCTCCAGCTCAGTTGCACAACTGAAAGCCACTGAATTGTACACTTTAAATGGATGAACTTTATGATATGTGTTGTATCTCAACAAAGCTGTTGTTTTAAAAAATCAATTAATCCCACCTCTCTCCTGGGGTTTGAGCCTCCCCTTCCAGCTGCTCATTGAACCTCTTCTTGGAAAGCTCCGTTGATGGGGAACTTATTGGTACCCACACAGGTAGCTGTCTGAACAAACAGAGAGAGATATTATGAAATTAAGTTTTGGGCTCTAATGATTAGAAAGTTCTTTCCATTGAGCCCTGGCACATCTGGCCCTTGGCCCTAACTAGCTCCCTTTCTTTCTTGTGCACTATGTCAATTTCTCTTCCATATGGTAGCCCTATGAATATTTTAGTACTTTTCATGTGCCCCCAAAGTTAAGCATCTCTGACTGTTCCTTACAGGACACTGTTGGGATTCTGTGTATCATTGTCATTGCTGTCCTTAGCTCAGCCTGACAATGCCAGTTCTTCCTGGGAGCCAGGAGCTGCGTGCAACCTTTTCTGCTTAGTTATAACTTGCAGTCCTTCTGTCCAATTGCTTGTTAACATAAGCAGGATCAAATCATGTGCATTTAATCTTTAGGAAAATTGCCAGAATTTGAGCGTCCCCTGTTGCATCCCTGTGATAACTTAAAAATTGTTCTGGCAGTGACTAGCTCTCCTTGGCAGCCAGTAACAAGTACTGAAGCTGCAACTTCTGCTTAAAGGGTGGGCAGAAATGGCAGAGGTCATGTGTCATGTGAAATGAAACTGACACTCTTATTAACTCCAAGGCTCTCCTGGCCAATGTGAATTAGGCCAAAGCATCATTCTAAGATGCAAGCAGCTTAAAAACAACTTTTTAAAGGGTGGTAAACCAACAATAACAAAAGCTACTTAGACTACTCTTTTGAAACAAATTAGCTCTGTGATTGTATTGCAATGACATGATTTTTCTCACCCAAAAGAAGAGAGCACAAGAGATGGAACCATTTGTGCAAAATCAAGTCCCTGTACTTTCTGGGGTTATTTGCTTCAATTCCAATGTGATGAATGAGTCATTTGGGGTAACAGGAACACCACCTGAATAATAATCACATGTAAAATTCAGGTACCGATTCATGGTTTTCATTTGTTGCCAAAGTCAGTGGTATTATTATGCACACTTTAACGTAAACAAAACAACACCCCTGTAAGCGGTTTTAACTGCAACCTAATACAAAATGCTGAATGGGCAGACAGAGAAGACCTACTTTCCATTTATAAATATAGGTAACATGTCACAAGGGACCAAACCCCTACGTGCAGAGGTTTGGTTCAAGGGCTAATTAATTGCACAGCTAACATTTACTGAGCTCTTACTCCAGACTGTTGCTGTGCTAAAGACATCTCATGCATCATCTCATTCAGTCCTCCCTGAAACTCTGTGGGGCACCTGCTGTAACTATCCCAGATGGAAGACAGGCAATTCAGGTCTTAGTCAGAATGGCTGGCTAAGTGTCCTCAGCCATTGTGCCTCAGTGCCACCTTGAAGAACCAACACCTAAAATTGAGTTCTTTCTTTTTACTCTGACCATTTTCTACTCTGAAAATAATGATAGGCAGGAAAATGAAAATACAAGAGGATTATAAGAGAAATCTTAGGCTTCTCCTGCGATTTTTTCAGTGTACAAGATTAACTAGAGCTCCACTTCAGGAGTGCGTTTTTAATGAAATATTTTAATTTAGAGGCTAATACTTGTGATTTTAATAAGGAATTTCTGAATCCCTGGTCCAGGGATCTCCTTTGTGATGGAGCACCATCTGAGAGTTCTGCACATGTACTGCACATGTACGTGCATGCTCACACACGGACACGTGCTCACATTCACAGTAACTAATATCAGTTGAGTCCTTTGTGTCAGGCACCGGGTAAAGTGCTTATATCTGTGACCCCATTTTCTCTAAACAACAACTCTTGTAGGATAAGGATCACTAGTGTTATTGTGATTTTGCAGATAAGAAAAATAAGATTCAGAGACACGAAGGTGAGCTTTGTGTTCAGAGATATGAAGAGGAGGCAGTAATAGTGTGTGGAACCAGGAGTTACACCAAAGTCTTCTGACCCCACATCCAGTGTGCTTTCCAGGAACAATGATACCCAAGTAGTAGGGACATAGAGGCCTTCTTGGAGTGAGAATGAGGTAACTTTGTGCCTCATATGAAATACATCCCTAAACCACCACCAACAGAAGGAGCACCAAGTACTTACTGTCATGCCCCATGTGCCAATCTAAGGGCCTGGAACCTTCCATTTGGTGTCTCAATGTCCTTTGTTCAAATTGTGACTTAAAATGAATGAGATTGATTTGATCAGATGCATATAAAAATAAAGCTAATCTCCGTCTAGCCAATGTCTGACATTCACCCGTTTTGGGTTTCGGCAGCTGTTAGGTAAGCTAAGTCCATTTCTTATTTAGCTCCTGTTCTCCTGCAGGCGGATGTAAAGGTGGAGCCTTTAGCGGAAGGAAACACAGCCACAGCGTTAGCCCCGCCTCTGGTCCTGAGAGGACTCGTTCAGTGACTGGTGGCTGTCCTCTTCACAGGGTGCTTCCCAGGGAAATACTGAAGAAGCACATTGGCAGAGAGGTGTAAACTTCCCTTTTGGAAAGAAATCTTCATCTCCCTTTATGCTAGAAAGTCATACTTATTCTATCGGTATAGGGGGGAATACAGAGGTTTTAATTTTGTTTTGGAAAATCCTCAGGGCTCTTTCCTAAATTCCAGAAGTACCCTGGTGAAACCTTCTACACAAAGTGCAGCCAGGAAACCTGATGCTACAGGCTAGCTGAGCTGAAATGCTGACAGGCTGCCTTGGATATGATTTTTCATTAAGGACAGATTTTTATTGCTGACATGATTATTGGCTTATAAATAGAGTGATAAATATGCACAACGAAGAAGATAGAGGAGTGCCTTTTTAAACTTTAATGTGCGAATAAATCACCTGGGGGGGTTGTTCAAGTACAGAGTACAGTCGAGCAGTTTGAGGCAGGGCTGAGATTCTGCATGGCGAGCACACTCCCAAGTGAGGCTTGGCTAGCTGATCTAGGGACCCCACTTTGAGGCCCTACCTCTCATGTCCAGGGGAGAGCTTGTGGGTGATTCCTGCATCAGCCCTGATAGCCTTCGCTTCTTCTGTGCTCCTGGTCTGGCCCAGGCCTGACTGTGTGCATCTTGATGTCTAGGTTTGTCCACCCCCGTTTTGGGCCCATCAAATGCATCCGCACACTCCGCGCTGTGGAAGCTGACGAGGAGCTCACCGTTGCCTACGGCTATGACCACAGCCCCCCTGGGCAGAGCGGACCTGAAGCCCCCGAGTGGTACCAGGTGGAGCTGAAGGCCTTCCAGGCCACCCAGCAGAAGTGAAAGGCCTGGCTCTGGGCTTCGGAGACCTGGGACAGAAACTTGGATCTATGCACTACGTTTATCTGACAAGGGACAACCAGGGACTGCTCATGCTGTGACGTCACATCCTCTCCGCGTTAGCAACGACTTTCTAGCATACTAACTAGGTTTGACTCTATTACTCATACCAGATTAAAATTAGCTAGCCTTGCAACAATGTCCTACTGTGAGGGACTGTAGAGCACTTGACATAAATCAGCCTGATGTTCTTGGGTGGTTCCAGGCTAAATCTGTACCACCTTCAGAGATGCCAAATGACTGGACTGAAAAAGGGAAAAGGGGGTTTTCAGCCATTTCTAGTCAGTGATTTTTCCATGATGTTTTTCCTATGGCCAATGCAAAGTGTGTTATCACACTTGGATGTGTGCCATGTGGAGGATAGAGAAGTACTACATTTTTATTCTCTAAATGTAGTATAATTTGCCTTTTAACCTTTGATCTGTATCCTGCAATAGAATGGCTTTGTTTTTTCCTAGCAAACAGCGCTCCATTTTTTGAGTCATGTGATTCACCCCTTGGTCCTATTCTCTATATTAGGTATCTTTTACAAGAGAAAATTTCCAAATGGATTTCATGTCAGTGCCACTGTGTAGGTCTCTCTGGTTCTTTCTGTATCATTGTTTCATTATTATGTCCTAATATAAAGAACTGGCTCATAGGGCCAGGGTATTATTACAGAATTATTACTCTCGCATGTAAACAAAGATATCTTTGCTTTAAGATGTGAGAAGAAGTGAATTTTCTCTGTTTGCATTAAGTTATGGAAGAGTTGTAATATATACTTTAAAAAAGAAAAGAGGGAAATTAGTATTTCTAAGCAGTAATTGCAACAATTTTGCAATATCTTCAAAATATTTGTGCAGTAATTTTTTTTTTCTCCCTGGGTACACATTAAATCTACATAACATAGAGCAGTCTGGCTTTTGGCAAAGTGCATTGAATTCAAAAGTCAAATAACAAACTTGAATTCTAACAGAATTCAAATTCGGGGTTTTTTTTTTTTTTTTTAGTCGCTGCTATTAAGAGAGACATACTGATCACTAGGTACAAATCAAACCTTAATGCTAAAACTATTCATCGTATTTCAAGGCACTCACCTGCTTCCAAGCATTGTGAATGAAAAGTAACACCTGTAGAGTTTAAAAGCCATGATGCCTGTAGCATTTCAGACATTTTGCAAGCCATGTGTAATCACAACTGCAGAAATAAGGAGAAAAACCCTATTTTTTAGTTTAGCTAGCTAGGTATGTAATGGAACTGGGATTGCTCTGAATGAATCCTTGGGGATCCTGCAGGGAGTTTGGGGGTTTTGTAAGCACCCTCCCCACATGCCATAGCCATGTCCTTTGGATGCCTCAGTGATGTAACTGGGAGGGCTGAAGAGAGGCAGCTGCTCTGACCCACAACTGTCAGCGGGGCCACCTATCACCTGAGCCAGTTTGGGCTTTGAAAGAGAGAAAGCCTTCCAAGCTATAGCTGATAGTGAATGCTGGCTGAGTAGAGAAGGCTTGCTGGGAGTAATAGAAGAGGAAAGACAGGCAGAAGGAAGTTTGCTATTTCTTTTCCATTACACATTACTCTTAGGAAGAATTTAACAAAAGTGCTTGATCCTGAGCTGCTCACACTTCCAGTTCAGGTGGCTCCTGGGCCCAGGATTCAGACCTCAAGACAGAAGCAGCCCATCCCTTCTCTGCAAGACCAGGCAGGCTTCCTGGAGCTCCCCTGTGCTCAGCAGTTCCAGAGCAGGTGGCCCAGCAAGCCGTGCAGCTAGGTGGTGGCCATGATTTCAGGGAGATAAGCTGATGGTTCACACAGGAGAAGTTGTTGGGGCTGCCAGAAAGGTCTGCCACAAAGGGAACTGAATAGAGTTTTTAGATTAAAGGCACCAGGATAGGAAAGCTTCTATTGTGTAGAAAGAGACCATTCTATAAACTGTGACAGATGGGCAGAGTCTTGGGACTTGTATTCTGATGGGTGCTTTAATTCAAACTCATCCCAGAGTGAGTGACTGTTTCAGGAGAAAGATGGCTTTAATTAACCCCAGTCAGCTAGGTTGTGGAGCCAGGGCAGGGGGAGGAGGGTGCAAGTCACACTTCCCAGTGCAGCTACTATGCTTTGAATGGTATCATTCCTGAGGGTGATACTGTTTTGGTGAGCTGCAGGGAGTATAGTTTCTGTCCTAATGAGTTACTTTAATTGCCCCAAATGGAATTTTTCCTTTCTCTTTCTTTTTTATATGTAAGGGATTGAAGAGTTGTAAGTAGTGATTAACCAACTAATCCATTTGTCAAGTTAGATATTGAATGAAAACATCAAGTTTAAAACTCAGCAGCGTGTCCATGACCTTCAGACAAATCCAAGGAAATAATACACCCAAGCTGTGCTTCTCTCAGTCTTTCTCCCTCCTCTCCTCCTCTGTCTTCTGGCTCTTCTTTCTCGTGTCCTATCTCTTTCCTTTTTCTCTTGTCTGTGGGAATGCCTGGGAAACAACATCTCTCCCACTCCTTCCCCTTCTCTCTTTCCCTGTTCTGAGCTTCTCTCCTCTTCCTAGTACCTCTCCCTGGCTTTGTGTGTGCCGGTCAGAGCCCTGAGTCTACCTCTCGTTAGGTACTCTGACTGGCTGGCTCTGTTTCTCCTGCTCTCTCTGCGCCCCCAGTCCGCGCAGGTACGTGCACGCGCGCACACACACACATACACACATTCCCAAACGTTAAGGCTTTGTCATGTGGAATCAGAGCTGGGCTTGAGATTCACTGTATTGTGTAGGTAGGTAAAGAAGTCAAGAGGTTGAAGTTCCATCAGGAATTAATGGGTGAGGAAGTAAAGGCTTATTCCTTGTTTGAGCCAAAGTCTGAGAGGGGAAGCTTTGGCTGTATTTTTCTACTGAATCTTTCCATCCGCTGTGTGTGGAAGGAAGCATGGCAGAAAACACCCAATCTGGGAGTTTCTGCAGCGTAGTAATCACACCAGATGTGGGAAGATTCCACGTGGTGGGTAAGAAGTAACTTCATGCTCTCCCAAAACATGGCTGATCCTGGGGGTGTGCATGACGCCAGTCTCAGGAGATTCACGCAGAGCTGTCTCAGTCCAACTCTTGCATGCCTAGATCTTTCCTTAGCAGCTTTTCTATGATGAAATATTATCTTGTGTTAGAGCTAGGAATAGGAACTAATCTGTAAGAATATGTCCCCAAATGGACATTTGAATGGACTAACAGAAACAACTGTCAGGGCTGAATTTCCTACACAAAGGAATGACCAGTAAAAAGCAACAGGCAAGGCAGACTTGAGTTTTGTAGCACCTGTTCTTAGTTGACCTGCCTCAGCCCGGGGCTACCTGAGAAATAAAGAGGGAAATTGGTTTTTCAAGATCTCTTTGAACCTGTCTGGGGCTGTAATTAAACTTGTTTACCCTCGGGAGGGTTCTTCACACTTGAAAAACGTTACTTATCACCAACGACCTGGAAAGGCCACCATGAAGGCAAGTGTAACCATTTACAACATTTGATTGTAACTATTACAATTGCAGTAACTGTGAACAGCGTTGTCTTCTCAGTGAGACAGTATGTGGCACTTTAGAAACTTTCCTTTAATATATAAAATTTTAAATCACTGCAAAATGCATTTAAGATCTTCCAAGAAAGTAGTTTTGCTTTACTTTATTTTAAAACAGTTGCCTCAAGTTTCTGTCTTAAGAGTAGTGATTTAGAATCCAGGCATCTTTTATTTTAGAAAAACAAGCAAAACTGTGTTGCCAGACTGATAGTTGTAATGTTTACTTGCCACAGATCAAAGGTTCACAAAATATATCAAATTTACATCTACCTGATGTACTCTGGTAGGTTGTTCTTTCTGTAATCTTTCCCTTTAGGAATTTGGATCCTCGGAATCAGTTTTTCATTTTTAAAAAACTAAATTTTAAGTTTTATTTTGCCAAATGTGTGCTTACATATTCAAAGCAATGAAACTATTTCAAGCCATACAACCACAGGGGTGGAAACCCTTTTCACAAATTTTAATGTGTTTGTATGTAAATAGATGTTTGTATGAAATATTTTCATGGTAGAATGAATATATTTAAATGAAGTTGAGTTATTCCAGTGCTATTTAAACAAATTACAAAATTTTTGGTGAGAATTATGAGTCTATTGAGATACAATGCAGATCAATTTTGATTTTTAAAAATCAAAAGCCTACAAATCACTCTGACTCATGGCAACTTCCCTGTGTTGTTGCACCTGACATGGAGAGAGCGTGTAGGCTTCCCCAGTGCCTCAGCCACTTCCTGGTGTGAGTTAGGTGCTCGTGGAGGTGTGTGTCCACCTTTTAGCGACATCACTCTGGGCCTTCGGGGGCCAAGGAGTGAATTAGAGGCATTAGAGACACTGGTGCAGTTATCCAGAGCACATTTCTTTGCAGGGCAGCAGAATCAGAAGCCAGATGTGGCCATGTGACCCTTGGAAATGGGTTTGCTGGCCGCCATCAACCGCCACCCTTACTGCCTAGTCACACGTGTCAGGGAGGCTGCCCACAGTGGAGTTGGGGTTCAGACCCCAGGGTGGGACTTCACGGTTTTGCCAGCAGGCCTGCCTCCTGACCTTCACCTCATAGAGAGGAAGGAGGAGGGAGCAGCTGGCAAGGGGCCCGTTTCTCAGCACAGTGCATTTCCTGTCTCAGCTCTGGGAGACTATGCACTGAAGCATCCAATTTCCAACCAGAGAGAGACGTCCTCAGATAAGGCAAATCCTTGCTTCCTCTGTCTGTGACTTTACACACACCATTGTTAGAAGTCGTTTTAATATCAAGACCAATCACATCCCTAGGACATACCTCCCAACTCTCCTGATATCACTAGAACACTCCTTTATAATGACATTCAACTTGAGAGGGTTGGGTTTTTTTTCCATTTTGGTCCTGGATATAATGAAATGATAAATATTATGACAAATTTTCACTGTGTATACTAGCAATATGTACACACATGCCAATGTATCTTAACATATCACCTTGGTTACATTTTAGGTCACTATAATTATAGTGTGAATTCATGTGTTGGGGAATTTCAGGGACTTTGTAATGCCTGCTTATCATGGAAGGAATTAGGTTGACGGTTCTGTGCTCCCTACTTCAAAAGTTTTCCTCCTGGGTTTTCTATGTTCCTTTTTCTCCTGAAATGCATTTATTAGGTTGTGAGGTATGTTTAAGGATTGTAAGCCAGGGGTATGCTTTCAGCATTTATTGCAACCAAAAGTAACCCCATCACAGTTAATGAGCATCTTTGATTGGTCTTTTGTGGAATTTGAACTAAATCTCTGAGCCTTATTCAATATCTATAATTCTATGATTTTTTTAAATTATGGGAAATTAATGAGAGATGTTTACATGAAAAATGTTTGCCCTTGCTGTGTGATGAATGAGTTTTTTGTAGTGTGTCTGGGTGCATGTGCAAGAGAGTAGGGAAAATGTTTCTGAAACAAAACTTGACAAATATTTGTAATGAAAGTAAATTTAAAGATTGCTATAATTGCGCTATAGAAACAATGCAAGTATTAAACAAAATATACAATCATCTGTCTTTGTCTTCCTTTGGCCATCTAGGGCAGAAAGGCAGCAACATTTTTCTTATGATATGTCTACCTGTATATTTAAATTATTAGGCAAACTTTATATTTTAAATTGTTTAAAAATATTATTAACCATTTATCACTTTCAAAGCATCAGAGTAAGACCTAAGAAGGGGCATAGAAAGGTTGGGAGCTTGTTGTGTATTTGGCATGACTCCACATGCACCCACAAATCCAGAAAAATTAGCCACATCAGCCAAAGGTGACTGACTGACTACATAAATATTAAGAGTATTAAATGTAAATGAGATGATCAGGGAAAAGATGTGAAGGATGGGAAACTTGAACTCATGGTTTAGAGAAGCTATAGGAATTTTGTTACATGTTGTGGTAAACATTCCCAAACTCTCCCCATCAATATTCTCAAAAAACAAAAAGAACAAAAATCAGTGACATGGGGCATAAAAATAGTGTTTTGCTATTCGCTGGCCCTTGTGCTCAGGGCCCAAAGTAGTAAATTTTGGTGAGTTGGGCCAAGCTACATGAGGCAGAAGCAGGTAATGAGACCTCCTGCTTTTATTTTACCTCCCTCAGTTGCCCAGTTCTTGATCTTACCACATTTCCTTCCATTGAAGGAAGGAAGCAGTGGGATTACTAAATCCAAACTGATGCTGGGTCAGCTTCACCATGTGGATGGAGATGCACCCATTAGCTGTGTCTTCAAGGCAGAGTTTCAACCACTAATACACACCATTAATATTCTTCCTTCTTGGTGGGGAGAGATAAGTGAGATTAAAATTTTAATGCAAACTGGGTTGAGTCTAAGAAGCTAAACTCTCAACCTGAAGGATCAGGCAACTTTTCATAGGTTAACTTGGTGCAGATTCAAGGGTTGTTGAATAAGGTAATGTGAGGAAGATTGAGACCAAATTATTTTTGTCTCAGTTACTAAATGTCTGCCTTTAGGTTTTAATGTTCCAAACTGTTGAGCCTGCTAGTTTGTATTGGACTTGAAATTACTTCAGTGGTCATCTCTAGAATTAGGTAACATTCAGGAAGATTTTCTGCTGCAGTAGACATTAACTCAGCATCTGGCTGATCTGGGCTGTTCAACAAGAAAGCTCTGCCCATATTTTAGAAAACAATTATTGCCTTTTATGTAAAAAGATAATGCTAACTCCCCTGCAATATATTAATATGCATTAATATGTTTTTCTTAAAGTTTAGTTTCTTTGTGAAAACCACATAGAAAAAGTTCAATGGATTCATCTAAATTGCTACCAAATTTTTACTTCAAGTATCAGAATACTTCCAGCTTCAAAAACATAAAAACCAATTCAGTATAGCTTAAGCAATAAAGACTTGCTATCTCACATAACAAAATGTGTTGAGTGACCCTAGAGTTGGTTAATCCAGCAGCTCAACTAAGTCTTTTTTATCTTTCTGCCCTGCAACGTTCATTCTGAGTTTGTTAGGTTTCACTTCTATGGTCTCCACCAAGGAGGAAACCTAAACCTATGACTTGCAAAGAGCATGCATGGGAGCACCATGATTATCTGAGTGAAGCATATGACTGTGAAAAAATGTGGATAGACTGAACAAAGCTGGGTTCTCCCAGCAAGGAAGCAAGGAGAAATGACGGTTGGGCTGACCACCCACAGTGTCTGCCTCATATGCCACACAGGTTCGTTTTATTTTCTTCAGAGAAGAAAGGAGGTTTTTCTCCTTAAATGAATAGACTTTTTAATTAATTCAAATCAATTAGAGAATTCTCCAGTAGTGGGTGTAGGAGAAGTACTACAAAGATATATTTACTATGTAGCATTTAGAAGGCAGTTTAAAATGTTTAGATTATTTCTCAAGAGCCATATGATATAGGTACTGATATTACTTCATTGAACAGAGGGGAAAACTGAGGCATAAAGATATCAAGTAACTTGCAATTTAGTAACACTTCACTTAACTAACCTGGAAGTGGTAGAGGCAGAGTATGGAGCCAGGTGGCTGGGCTCCAGGCTGCTCCCTTACCACACTTAGGGGAGCCCTCTCTCCTGCCCTTCACTGCCTCATGCTGCCCGTTCAGGCCATCTGCTAATATCCTTAGTCATTCTTCCCCTTGATCATTAGCTTAGCCAACCTATCAACTGATCTCTCAGACCAGGGTGCTGCCTTGGTCGAATCCATTTGGTACCCAGAGCAGCTTTGTACACTTTTATTCTCACCACCTTTGCTCCAATCCAGAACATCCACACTCTGGCTGGGTTTCTGTCCTAGCGTCTCTGTACCATCTTATTTCTCATTCCTCACCTCCACCACAAACAGCTTTCTCATTGCTGAGCTTTCACTGTTCCTGCCTCCTTGGTGGCCCTCGGGAGGGTCATGTAGAGGAAAGGACCTGGGCTCTGTAGTCAGACTGGTTTTAATCAGCCTTAACACTGTCTGTGTGACACTGCTCTTTAGACTGTATTCAAGCAAACATGGCTAAAACCTGCCCACATGCAGTTGCTTTGGGATTGAAAGATGGAGTACCTCTTCCTTAGTCTGACCCAGCACTGCCCCCTTCCTGTGCAAGCCTTCTCCCAGATCGCCACATGGCTTCCTGCCCCAACTCCTTCCAGTCTGCACTGAAATAAGGCCTTCCCTGACCACTCTCCTCCACGCAGCTTCTCCAAACCACTTTACCTTCCTCTTTGCCCTCCACACCACTTAGCACCATCTGACTTACTCCATAATTTAGTTATCTATCATGTTTGCCTATTATCTTTCTCCTCCATTTCAGTTCCAGCTGGGCATGGATTTTAGTCTGTTTCACTCACTGATGAATCCTTAACATCTGGTACATTGTAAGCACTCAATAAATTGAATGAATGAATGAATGAATAAATGGGAGTTAGTATATGCTAATGGTTAGGAGAAATTTAGTAAATCATCTTAGGTTGAAATCCCAGCTCTGCCATGATCTACCTGTGTGACATAACTTCTTTGTGCCTCACTTTCCTTATTTGTGAAATACACCAATAACGATACCTGAAAAAAATGAAAAAAGATTGAATGTTTGACCCATGGAGCAGGCTCACTAATTGTGTCCCTACTGCTCAGGATTGCCAGCTTTCCAGACAAAGCCTGCCTCCTTCCAAGAAGTCCTCAGCACAGATACCCTGCCCTGGAAGCTGGCCTGTATCTTCAGGACCTGCCTTCACTAGCCCCTTCTGTGCACCACATGGATGCCAACAGGCCATTCCAGGGTATACAGTGCATAGCCTTGGTTGTTTAATGAATGAAACTTCAAGCTCTCCCACTTAGATGGCAGGCTTTTAGGGACCAGCAAGTGTACCTTAGCAATACTCACAAAGCATTCTCCAAATATTTGATGTGACAATGACTGAGCTAGAGTCTTTTCTTAAAATTATGTTCTCAGTTTGCTCATTCATTCAATACATATTTATTAAGCTTTACCATGTAGCAGTCACTGTTCTACAATATGAATGAATCAGCAGTAAACCAAAACAAAGACCCCACCTCAGGGAGCTTACATTTTCATGGGGACCCTGGTCACAGAGCAGTCAGGGAATGGCTGCATGGGCCAGGTGAGTGCTGTGGGGCGAGGCAGGGTGTGAGGAGAGCTGGAAGAGGGATGCAGGGGCAAGAGCAGGGAGACCTCACTAAGGAAGGGAGAGCGCACACCAGGGCATCTGGGGAGAGGCTCCAAGGCCAGCCCTGAGAGGGGGCGGTGTGAAGTGTCCACGAACAGGAGGGAGGCCAAGGCAGCTGGTGAGGAGAGAGCACTAGGTGAGGTCCTCAGAGGAGGAGCAAGATTCCAATTCCATAGGGACCTCCAAAGCCATTTTAAGGACTCCCTTTTAACTCAGAGTGTCATGGGAAGTCAACCAAAGATGTACAATATTATTGTTTGTTTTTAAAAACCAGCTTTGTTCAACTTGGTTTACTACAGATTCCAAAATATCTTTAAAATTCTAATTGCTCTTAGCCCTTCAATTGAAGTGCTCTGACGAGAAAAGCTGTAGGACCAGCTTGCCTGTTCAACAGGACCACTGGTGTTGCAGTGGAGAGCAGACTGGGGTGGGTCTTGGGGTTGCAGGTGATTGCAGGGGGTGGGGGGCCACCCAAGGAGCCACAGTGAGAAGTGGTTGAGTCTTGGATATGCCTTAAAAGAATAGAATCTACTGAGATACGGGGTTGGGTATTTTTTAATGCAGCTTTTATTATTATTCAGGTATGATGAGGCAAACACATCACGAGACAAGTGCCACTGAAATGACAGTTGCTCACTCAGAGTTCCCAAGAGGAGGAGGCCCACAGGGACACAGCCAGGTCTGTCATGAGGCAGGGGGAGAGGGGCACGATGTGGGCAGGAGCCTTTGCTGCAGTTTCTGGGAAGAGGAGAAAGCAAGGCAGGTTTAGCATTGGCTGACCTGGATCCTTTCAGTGGGCCTGGGGCACAGAGGCTGCCTGCAGCTTTCTGGTGCCTGGCCCAGGGGCAGCAGTGCTAGAGCCTGTATGAGGCGGCAGGTTGCGGTAAGGGCTCTGCATTGTTGGCTGGCCTTGGAAAGGCACAGGTTGTTTGCTACCTCTAGGAAGTGGTAGCCCAAGGTCAGCAAGGCCCCAGCTGTCAAAGCACCAGAATAAAAAATATGCTTAATACATTAAGAAGTAAGGAATCAAGCCAACTCTGATTTTTGGTCTGAGAAATTAAAGAATGGAATAATTACTCAGGAAGAAAATATCTTCTGTCACCATTGCTAATACTGAAGGTCTTGCCTGAAATCACTTGCTTTCTCCCAGTTTCTATTTCCTTATCCAAGCAACTCATTAATTTTTTCATGGTCCAGCTCCCTCTAGTGGTGAGGACTTATTCACATACTGTTCACATACTGCCATGAAAATACAAAGCAAAAAGAACTTCACCAGATGATTTAATGTATTTTAAAAGCAAACAAGAACACTGGGCTGATGTTTATTCTTATCTTGAGGTTGCACTTTGACC